GTTATGCTATGCCATGTTCAGCCAGTCAGTTCCGGACTTCGGTCCGATGCAGTAGTTCCGGACTTCGGTCCGATGCAGGGGACAAGGTCCCAGTCAGTTCCGGACTTCGGTCCGATGCAGTTAGTTCCGGACTTCGGTCCGATGCAGGGGACAAGGTCCCAGTCAGTTCCGGACTTCGGTCCGATGCAGTTTCCGGGCTTCGGCCCGATGCAGTGGGCAAGGCCCAATATGTGTTTATATGTTATTGTATGGTATGTGGTAGTTTGGGGGAGCTCACTAAGCTTCGTGCTTACAGTTTCAGTTTGGTTTCAGGTACTTCCGCAAGCAAAGGGAAGAGCTCGGGTGACAGCATCGCACACACCACAGCATAGCTTTTATCCTGGGGATGTCTTTTGATGTTTTGGATTAATGTTGTATGATACAGTTTTCCGCACAATATTTGTTATGTTTTGGGGATACATCGCGTATGTTTTATGTTATGATACTTATATTATGGTTTTGATTATATTGAAAAACGAAAATTTTTGGGTCGTGTTTTTGGGTCGGTTTCAAGTTGGTATCAGAGCCCTGGTTTGAGGGATTCGGATACACTTCCGGGTGTATCTGAACTCAAACTAAGGGAAATAAAAGATTTTAGTAAAATAAAAATGTTTTACAAAAAGAATTTCGAAAGCACTTAGAAAGAAAGAATTGTTTTAACAAGATAAGAGGTGTGTGCATGCGGTCAGCCGAGCTCAAGTAAGTACTCCCAAATTACCCATACAAGTTATTTGTTCAGTTTCAGTTTCAGTAGAACAGCATGCTAGTATAGGGCTAAGGATCTAGGAGAATGCCTTATGTGCCTGCTTATGTGTTACAGCTTTATGAGTATTGCATGCTAGAATTGAGTAGACAGCAGTAGGATAGCCTGTTTAGGTTATGCCTGATAGTATGAGCTTAGCATCCTATGCTAGTGCAGTTTCTTGTTATAAGAATAGTTTTGCCTAAGTCTGTTTCCCTTGTCCGAATGCTGCTTGCTTCGTGCTTGGTGGGGTTCTGAGTAGTGGGAGTTAGCCATTAGGTGAACACGTCACACCACATGTGATCAGGTTTGAATAATCCCAGAGTGCTGGAACTGGCCCTATTGCGCAGCTCTTGTTTGAGTCCAACCGTTGTAGGGACGGATCTTTTACTTGAAGGATTATCCGATCCTCATCACATGTGATGGTGTTTAGGTGGTGGCTAACTGACATTACGAGGAGACCTACAACAGCTGAGGACCAGTCGTATTGAGCTTGAGCTTTCTCTAGGGCAAGCCTAGGATGAGAGTAGCAGAGAATAGCAGCGATAGAAGTGACTTGGTGGAGTCAAGGCAGTTCTTGAGGAAAGTACGGATAGATGTGGAAGGTAGTAGGGGCCCATACTACTGAAAGCAGAGGATCCGTACTCGAATCAGGGAAGGCCAAGACAAGACCAGGAAGCTAGTAGTAGTATCATGATCCCTTGAGATATTTCAGTGTTCTGATGATGTTATGAAATGTTTCAGAATGGTAGTTTTGCGTCCGAGACCAGCAGTCGGCAGCTCAGATGCCGGAGGGGGATCAGGATCGGGATCAGGCCCGGAGGTCGGGCAGATGGATGAGCAGACTAGAGAGTTCCTTTCTTCTGAGGTTACCCGCATCATACTGGAGCAGACTCCTGTGATCTTCGGTTCGATCAAGGAGGGTATTTTAGAGCTAATGGATGAGAGATTGAGTACTTTCCGTGCTGAGATGGCGGCCGTGATGGGGTCGCGCACACTCACGTTCAGGGAGTTCAGGGCATGCGGGGCTCTAGACTATCATGGGGCGCGGGACCCCATAGCGAGTACTAGATGGTTGGCGGATGTAGCCAACGCTTTCCGCACTAGCAGGTGTCCCGATGGGGACAAGGTCAGATTGGCGTCCTGTCTTCTGAAGGACAGGGCACGGGATTGGTGGGAGGAGGTCGGACATGCCATCGGGGATGATGCGGCATTGGATGCCATGACCTGGGCTGATTTCTCTACCAGGTTTCAGGGCGGAGTTTGCACCAGTCATTGAGGTGCAGCAGTTAGCTAGGGAGTTTCAGGACCTTACCCAGACTACAGAGACAGTGGCAGAGATCACCGCCAAGTTCAGGGAGAGGGCCCTTCTTGTTCCTCAGTATGCAGCCGATGAGGAGATGAAGAAGGCCCGTTATCATGAGATGTTGCGGAGTGACATCCGCATGTTTGTGAGCCGGTCCAGTTGTAAAACGCTGGACGACATGATTTCCAGAGCTAGAGAGAGGGAGATTGATCTCGAGATGGAGAAGAAGAGGAAACCGGAGGCGGTTTCGGGTTCAGGCAGTGTGGGCAAAAAGCCCAAGGTTTCAGATCACAGGTCTAGGAGTCAGCAGAGCCACGGTCGGTGTGGCAAGTGTGGGAGATTGCACGAGGGGGCGTGCAAGGCAGGGAGTTCCGGCTGCTACAAGTGCGGTCGGACTGGGCATTTGAGTAGGGATTGTACGGCCCCTGCTACTACGGTTACAGCATCAGATCTGATTTGCTTTCGGTGCAATCAGAGGGGACATAAAAGGTCCCAGTGTCCCAGTTTAGCTGCAGCAGGGAAGGTGGTTGCACCTGCCCCTACCACCTTGAGGATTACGGATGGCCGGCAGGGCCGAGCTGATGCGCCAGTGGCGAAGAGCAGGGCATTTCAGATGACAGCAGAGGAGGTGCGGGCGACTCCTGATGTGGTGACGGGTATGAATCTTTCCTTCATCTTTAATTGTTATTATATCGGTTGGGTATTACTTATGTGGGTATGTTTTATTTAGGGTCGTTCTTTGTGAACGACATTTCTGCTTTGGTATTGTTCGATTCGGGGGCTACCCGATCATTTGTATCGCTTGTGCTTAGCAAGAGATTTAGCAGAGCTCCAGGGGAGCTGGATTGTCCACTAGAGGTTGAGATAGCAGATGATAGGACCCTGAGGGTCGGCAGAGTACATAGAGGGTGTTCCCTTCAGATATTCGATGAGCAGTTTTCAGTGGACCTGGTTCCTATTCCCCTGCGTGGGAATAAAGTTATTGTGGGCATGGATTGGCTGAGCCCCAATGGGGCGGTGATTGATTGTGAGCTTCAGCTAGTGAGGGTTCGCACTCCCAGTGGGGGAGAGATAGTGATTCAGGGCGAGAGGCCCCAGCGAGGACCGATCTTTTGTTCCGCCGCAAGGGCGAGGCGTTATGTTCAGCAGGGTTGCGCCGGTTTTGTAGCTTACGTCTTGGATGCCCGGGAGAAGGGCAAGACGACGATTGATGATGTTCCTATTGTTCGTGACTACCCGGATGTGTTTCCCAAGGATTTGCCGGGGATACCTCCAGAGAGGCAGGTTGAGTTCAGGATCGACCTAGTTCCTGGTGCGGCTCCGATAGCCAAAGCACCGTATCGACTTGCTCCCCCTGAGATGCAGGAATTATCTACACAGCTTCAGGAGCTGTTAGACAAGGGTTTCATTCGGCCAAGTAGTTCGCCTTGGGGAGCGCCGATCTTATTTGTGAGGAAGAAGGATGGGTCGCATCGTATGTGCATTGATTATCGGGATTTGAACAAAGTAACGGTGAAGAACCGTTACCCACTTCCAAGGATTGATGACTTGTTTGATCAGCTTCAGGGAGCGTCTTGCTTCTCCAAGATCGATCTACGCTCCGGTTATCATCAGATGAGGGTTAGAGATGAGGATGTGTAGAAGACTGCTTTCAGGACCCGGTATGGTCATTATGAGTTCGTGGTGATGCCATTTGGGCTCACCAATGCCCCAGCCGCGTTCATGGATCTCATGAACCACGTGTGCAGACCGATGCTGGATCGGTCGGTGATAGTGTTTATAGATGACATCTTGGTGTATTCCAAGACACAGGGGCAGCACGAGGAGCACCTATGGGGGGTTTTGGAGACTTTGAGGAGGGAGAGACTTTTCGCAAAGTTCTCCAAGTGTGAGTTCTGGTTGCGCGAGATGCAGTTTCTTGGTATCGTAAATGAAGATGACACACATTTTTGCGTATCGTAAATTTAAATGTTTTAAAAAAATAAATTTATATATTTATTAATTTTTAAATTAAATTTGCATTTAATTTCTCATAATAGAAATAAAATAGTGTATACAAAAAATACAATCCATTGCATAATATAAAATAAAATTTCATACTCAAAAAATAAAATAAATTACACAAATTGTAATGTCATACAAAGAATCATTCAAATGTTAAACAAAAATAAAACATTGCTAACATGGGTTATACATTCCTATAAAACTAACAAATAATCATACAACTCTTTTTCTTACTGGAAAGGAATGTCAAACATGATTACAAGTCTCCCTTAATCTTGATTACTCACCTGCTTAAGTAGAATGTTGTTGTTGAGAAGGTTACCTAGCAACAGAGAAAAACACAACACCTCTCCCACAATCACAACATCATTTACAGAGAAAGGTTGTCAATTACTTTCATTAAGACTTTCATTCAATCACAAAAATATTAAATAAAAGGGTGAAACAGTAACTTACATGTGATAAGTTGATCCCCCTTAGAGCAAACACAGCTAAAGCATTGAACACAGAGAAAGGTTGTCAATTGCTGATCTTTTCAATTTTAGTCCCAACTCATTTTACTTGGAACGAAGAGTAAAAACGTTACAAAAACCTCAAATAACGATCAAATTTGCAAGAGAATTTTGTAGGACCCAAATTGAACAAAATCAGCCATACTCGAGGACCAAAAATGTAATTTTTGCAAAAATAAGTGAGAGAAAGCACCTCAATTTCCTTCACTTCAAATTCTTGGTGTGTGACAAACAAGAGTTACCATAAGTTTCTGAGGCCAAACTTGACCCATTCAATCTGGGGAAAAAAAAAATATGCAAATTGCCAAATTACCATTTATCCCTCAAAAAGAAAAAATAGGAATGATGCAAGTGCAACACTCTTACAAGTCACTATCGAGATACAATGCAAAATGATTTCCCCCACCAAGCGCTAAATACTCAGGTGAACAAAGAGTAAAATACCGATTCACCCCTAATAAATGCACAATTAACATAATAAATCCCAAATAAATATTAAAATTATAAAAGATTTTTTTATATATTATCAAGAAAATGCAGTACCTGTGGGGCGATATATAACAGGACGCCCTGGTGTATTTGTAAACACAAATGTATCATTCGATCCCTGTATAGTATTTACTCATCATAGTGAAAAAGGGTAGAAAAGTCTTTTGTCAACATATAGAGAAACGAAGACAAGACATTACCAGTAGACTTAACCCAGGGCAAAGATTGCTTCTTCTATATAAGGTTGAAAGAGATATGCCATGCCTCCATGTACTAACATATAAAAAAGATAATGATATATCAAGATTCAAGAATAATGTGAAACTGAAAATATGATGAAGATGAAATTTTACCTGTATAGTAAGACCCATTTCTTTCCTTGACTGAGAACAAGGAGTGCAACATAAAGATTAGAACGTGTATTTTCTGTCATAAGTTGTGAAGGTTCTGACATTTTTGGAAGTTTATCAGAAGGAAAATCTGAGAACAAGAGCCTCAACAAGTGCTCCAGTTCCACCAACAGGGTATTCTAAACTACAACCTGGTTTATACCATTCTGCAAACATATAAATCTGCAAATATGTGGATATATATACAGGCAAAAGATTAGACATTTAGAGAACTATAAAATATGAAGGAATAGAATGGATTCTGTTTGTTTGGAATGGAATGGATGAGGACATGTGGTAATGGAATAGCCCATTCCATTCCTTCCTCAATTCCATCATACCAAAAAGTAAAAATACCTTAAAAGGAACTTTTTAATGTATGATATGATTATGTACCATTTCTGCTGAAAGAACTGTTGGATAAGGTGTCTAAGTCCATAACTATTTCTGGTATGTACTTGACCCGACCCGGCATGGTCCATTTGGGTTGCATGGCACCATGCAATTGGATAAACTAAATGAGAGAAATAACGCTTGGAGATTATTAATATATTATAAGTTCTAATATATTAATAATATTATTTGATTAGTTTGATCAAGAATTAATTTAGAATTAATTAAGTGATCAAAAGATAACTAATTAAATATATGGGTTGATTAAGTAAATCATCCATATCTTGTATAGTGGGCTAAAAGGCTCCATGGATCATCAAGTTGGGTTCCACCCATAGGATGCTCCATGGATGCTCCATGGGAGTTACAAACCCATGGGTCATGGAAATGAAGAGTCATGACACATTAGGGTTTAACCCTAGATGTGTCAACACTATATAAGTAATGATCTCCTCCCAAATCGGTTCACAAGAAATAGAGGGCTTGGCCGATTTTGAAGAGTGTGTATTCTCTCATAAGTTCTTCCAAGAGCATTTGGTGTTGTGTGAAGCATTTGAGGCATCACACTTGGGTGCTAGGCTCACAAGGTTTCAAGGAACACAAGCAACAACAAGGTAAGTTATTCTATCTATACTTTATGTTAAAATTGTTCCCCATGTATGCTAGATAGGAATATAACCTTGGAATTCAACTTTGCATGACAAATTAGACAAACATAGATCCAAGGTTATTAGGGTTGCATGTACACTTAGGAAGTGTTAGAATGCTCAAAACCCATCAGTGGTATCAGAGCCTAGGCTTGTTTGTTCTTATTTGTGCTTAAAAGTTGAAAACAGAATCGAAAATTTGCTGTCTGCGATCGGACTCGTCGAGTCTATAGGGGGGACTCGTCGAGTCCATGTGTATCTTCAACCAACTCGGCGAGTCATGTTCATGCACTCGGCGAGTAGGGTCGAATGAGTGCAGAATTTCGATTCAGTTGCTGGAAAATGAATTAGAAACATTACCCTAAACTGTTTTAGTAAATTGTAAACTTGTTTTTGGTGGTGTAATGTCTTTGCTAATTCATTTACAACAACTAGTTATCAAAATTACAAAGTTTTATGTAATTTTTGATTATGTTCATATTCATGTTCTTGTTCTTATGATGTTTTAGATGATCATAGGAATTATTTGTAACCTATTTGGTAGTTTAATTCTTGATCATAATGTGTTTTAATGGAGTCCATAACTTATCCTTAAGTTATGGAAAACCAAGAGTCACACTTGAGTTAAAACCATTAAGAAAACACAAGAGTTATAAAAATGAAGAGTCTTCATTTTATGACTCTATTAAACTCATAAGTTACAAGAAATGAAAAGTTTTGAAAGTTACAAAACTTGCCCTCAAGTTTTGGAACAAGTAAAGTTAAGTTAAAACTTTAGTTCCAACCCCTAGAATTTTAAAAGTTAAAATTCAACCCTTATACTTATATTATGATGATTTAATAATTATATATATATGTATAAGAACAAGTCGTCTTACCGCTAGTACGCCTCATTCACGAAGCCGGTCTATAAGGTGGGTATAAGGTTGTTGCCTATAAAATGGTGACTTAATGGGTGTATATTCTCACCCACCGCTTGCTTGACTGGTGGAGGGTCGTTAGCCGAACGGGTAAGACAAGGACTTATAAATTCTCATTCAAAGTATGATGAATATATAAAGTAACTAAATGTTTATTAAATTCCCAATCTTAGTTACTTTAGGAAAAATGTGAATAAGGTGCTAATCCATGAAATTACACTTTACACTTTGTCTGAGTCGTTGGTGGAGCGTGTGTGGTTAACCGGCACACTAACTTGGACTTAACAAGGTAGGTAAAGGGTGACTTAAGGTTTATTATAGTATCGGTGGAGCGTGTGTGGTTTACCGGCACATCGATTGAGTGATAAACTTTAAGGGTACCAAGTGATTTGCATGGTTACTTCACACCTCGTTTTGTGATCCTCGGCATCCCAGTCACAAAACCTGGAGGGCACTCCCGAGATTGAAACATGCCTTTGAAAAGTTCATTGGATCTCAAAGAATCTAGGAATTTCTAAAACCAATAAAAACTAAATATTTAATATTTCGGTTTTCGTGGTGGAAATTGGTGAATCGTCATTCACCTACCTTTCAAATATGGTATAGCTTAGATTACGGCATACCTCTTCTAAGTTATATTATATTGTGATTGGATCCTAGCCTTAATATTACATTTGGGTGTTTTATTAAGGACTCTCTTAAATCTAAACTAAACTTGTTCTTCTTTTCAGATGTCTTCAACTAATGCTTCTGGCTCGAATCCTAATGGCTCCTTTACTCTTATGAGTCTATGTGGGAAAGTCACCTTTGATGGATCCAACTTCAATAAGTGGATCAGAAACATCAGGATGATTACCCGCTACGAGGACAAAGAATATGTCCTTGACAAGGAGCTTAAGGAAATTGACGAGTCCACTGCAACTCCCCAGGAGATCGCTGACTTTCATACTCATGAAAGAGATGCAACCAAGGTGGCTTGCATCATGTTAGCCACCATGACAGCTGAACTCCAAAAGTCTTACGAAGACTTCTACCCTTATGAAATGCACCAAGATTTGATGGAAAGATACCATCAAAGTGCACGACAAGAGAGGTACGAAGTCATCTGCTCCATGATAACAACCATGATGAAGGACGGAGAGTCCGTCACGAGCCACATGCAGAAAATGCAAAGGTATGTGGATCGTTGCTGAAGCTCAATGTGAACTTCCCTGAGGAGCTTGCAATAGATATCATTTTGCACTCCTTACCATCGTGCTATGATCAATTCCGCATGACATATCACATGAACAAGGAAGAGGTCACCCTCAGCAAACTTCAGGGACTTCTCAAGACCGCAGAAACAGGTCTTAAGGGGAAGTCGGTTGCTATCACTCCTACTCCAGAAACAACTCCGGTCTTGGCAATCGGGCAAAGTCGAGGGAGGAAGAGAAAGAGATCTTCAAAGGGTACCAAGGCTCGGACCCTTGATGGCTCTTCTTCAAGTGGAACCAAGAAAGGTTTCATTACTCCTTCTTCTGACCCAAAAGAGGCTGAATGCTTCTATTGCCACGAAAAAGCTCATTGGAAGCGGAACTGCCCAAAGTACCAGCAAGATGTAAAGGATGGGAAAGTCAAACCCAACCATGCAGGTATTTACACTATCATTTCTAATAACTCACCCCATTCGAAATCTTGGGTCCTTGATACAGGTTGCGGTATTCATATTTGTTGTGACTTGCAGGGACTAGGAAGAAGTGAGAATGTGGAGCAAGGAAGAATAAACTTAATCATGGGGAATAGGAAAGTTACACCTGTCACCAAGATTGGAGTTTATACTTTATCGCTAAGTAGTGGGTTAAATTTAGATTTGAATAAATGTTGTTATTCGCCAGAAATGGCAAGAAATATTATTTCCTTTCATGCATTGTACAAACAAGGTTTCACCTTTTCGTTTGATAATGAAGTTGGTTCGATTAATGCTTTCTTTAATAATGTACTTTATTTTAAAGCATTACCTTGTGATGGTGTGTATGAAGCTGTATCTATTGTAGATAACTTAGGAAATAATGTTTTGTGTATTGATTCTACTAATAATAATAACTTGGATAAAGCATCATTATGGCATTGTCGTCTTGGACATATAAGCAAGAAACGCATAGGCCAACTCCAAAAGGATGGAGTCTTGGAGTCGTTTGACCTAAAGTCAAATGATAGTTGCGAATCATGCTTACTTGGAAAAATGACAAAGTCACCCTTCACAGGCTCATGTGAAAGGGGTGAAGGTTTGTTGGACCTTATACACACGGATGTGTGTGGACCATTCAAACATGCCACAAGAGATGCTAATCGTTATTATTTGACTTTTACCGATGATTACAGTAGATATGGATATGTCTACTTAATCAAGCATAAGTCAGAGACTTTCGAGAAGTTTAAGGAATTTAAACAGGAAGTCGAGAATCAATTGGGCAGGAACATTAAGATGCTTCGATCCGATCGAGGTGGTGAGTATCTTAGTTCAGAGTTCCTCGACTATCTAAAGGAATGTGGGATTGTCTCACAATTGACACCTCCCAGGACACCGCAGTTGAATGGTGTGGCTGAGAGGCGTAATCGAACCTTGTTGGACATGGTTCGTTCCATGATGAGTCGAGCTTCCCTACCAATATCATTCTGGGGGTATGCCTTAGAGACTGCCGCCCATATCCTTAATCTAGTCCCTACAAAGAAAGTTTCCAAAACTCCTCACGAGATGTGGACTGGTAAAGTACCTAAACTAGACCACATCAAGATTTGGGGCTGCGAGGCTTTCGTGAGATGCGAGACTCATGATAAGCTCGAACCCCGAAGCGAGAGGTGTATTTTCATTGGCTACCCACAGCAATCCTTTGGTTACCTCTTCTACAGACCTAGTGACAATGTGGTCTTTGTAGCAAGAAGAGGAGTCTTTCGAGAGAGAGAGTTTATAAGCCAAGGAGACAGTGGGAGGCAAGTTGATCTTGAAGAAATTCAAGAGTCAAGTGGTGAAGGAACTTCAAACTCTAGCCCTCAACTTGAGGAGGAAACTCCTGTTGAGCCAATTGACGAATCTGTACCTCTGAGGCGTTCCACGAGAGTTAGGAGTGCACCTGAGCATTACTATGGATTCCATATTACTGCAGAAGGTGAGACACTTATTAGTGATGAGACACTAGTAAGTCAAGATGACCCTAACAGCTACGAGGAAGCCATGGCGGGCCCCGAGTCTGCCAAATGGAAAGAGGCTATGGATAGCGAGATACAATCCATGTATGACAATCAAGTTTGGAACTTGGTTGAGAATGTACCAGGTCGAAAGACTGTAGGGTGCAAATGGGTCTTCAAGAAGAAGACCGACATGGATGGTAAAGTACACACTTATAAGGCTAGACTGGTTGCAAAGGGCTTCTCTCAAATTCCTGGAGTGGACTATGATGAGACCTTTTCTCCGGTAGCCAAGATTAAGTCTATTCGGGTTCTGTTAGCCATAGCCGCATTTCATGACTATGAAATTTGGCAAATGGATGTCAAAACCGCTTTCCTTAATGGAAAGTTGGCTGAAGATGTTTACATGAGTCAGCCAGAGGGTTTTGTCAGTAACGAGTACCCTAATAGAGTGTGTAAGCTTGAGAAATCCATTTATGGATTAAAGCAAGCACCTCGCAGATGGAATCTTTGCTTTGATGAAAAGGTCAAGGAATTTGGCTTTTCTAGGAGTGAAGATGAATCTTGTGTATATGTCAAGGCTAGTGGGAGTATAGTTAGCTTTTTGGTATTGTATGTGGATGACATACTACTCATAGGAAACGACATTCCAACCCTGCAGGAAGTAAAGTCCTGGCTTGGAAAGTGTTTCGCTATGAAGGACCTTGGTGAAGCTGCCTATATTTTGGGGATAAGAATCTTGAGAGATCGGAGTAAAGACTAATTGGACTTAGTCAAAGTACCTACTTGGAGAAGATTCTGAAGAGATTCAGAATGCAAACTCCAAGAAAGGAGAGTTGCCCATCCAGAGTAGCGCCAAGCTGAGTAAGACACAAAGCCCTAGCACTGAGGCTGAGATAGCAGAAATGAGTCGAATACCTTATGCTTCGGCTGTAGGTTCGATCATGTATGCTATGACGTGTACTCGACCTGATGTAGCCTTTGCCTTGAGCATGGTTAGCAGGTTTCAGGGGAACCCTGGCAAGGCACACTGGATTGCGGTAAAGAATATTCTCAAGTACCTACGAAGGACTAAGGACTGGGTCCTTACCCTCGGTGGGAGTGATGACTTGAGAGTTGTAGGGTATAGTGATGCTAGCTTCCAGACTGATAGGGATAACTTCCGCTCTCAGTCGGGCTGGGTCTTTACCCTAAATGGAGGAGCAATTTCTTGGAAGAGTTCCAAGCAAGAGACAGTGGCAGATTCTACTTGTGAATCAGAGTATATTGCAGCTAGCGAAGCGGCAAAGGAGGCGTTATGGCTGAGGAACTTCATTGGAGACCTTGGAGTTGTACCAGCTATTAAAGAGCCGATGGAAATTTTCTGTGATAGTGAAAGTGCTGTTGCCTTAGCCAAGGAACCAAGGGATCACGGGAGATCCAGACACATCGACAGAAAATACCATTTCATCAGACATCGGATCGAAGAAGGACTCCTCGTGGCAAAGAGGGTATCATCAGATGAGAATCCGGCAGATCCCCTCACGAAGGGACTGACTCGGGTTAAGCATCTCCAGCATGCTCGGAGCATAGGGCTGAAGGATGATATTAGATTTAGTAGTTAGATAATCTTGAAATTTGTAAAGTGTAATTGACATTTGATGATGAATAAAAGTGTTTTATTTATGAGTAAAGTGTTGCTATCTCTTGTCGATCGTTTACTATATTTCTTTTGCATGTTTTGACTTCCAGAATAATTTTGTTTGGTATAACATATTATTCAAACCTCCACAGTGGTCATATGTCGGAAGTAGGTATGAATCAAGACTGTCATGTTTGGTTGTAGAGGTCTGGGACAAGGCTACAACAATCATGAGTGCTCATAAGTTCTGAGCATTGGACTCAACCCACGCTCACTGGAATCACTTCATGGAATTCTATCTCGAGTGATCGTGAGACGGTAATATCATATAAGTCTTTAAACCTAGAGATATGATTTGTTACTTACGAGTTGGTTATGCATTGATTGTACGAAAAACGCATTGGTAACTCGATGTTATAAAATCGTGCTCTTATGTGTAATTCAATGAGTAGTAGAACAAACATATGAGTCGAAGTTTATCTGTTCCTTCTTGGATTAGAAGCTGATATCTGGGCCCCTCGATGATTTTGTTTTGACCTATGTACCGGGCCCGGTCAGAACTAAATTGATGTGTTCAATAAAGTTCTTTGTCAAACAAATCGGAAATCGGGAAACAAATGTTGGACAATAAGTAAGACATTGTTCCATGTATTTGTCCGACTGATATCTAGAACAGAGGATTATATGATCACTTATCTTAAATGGCGTACCATCATCTTCTCAAGTTTCGAGAAACCTTGTAAAGAGCTACGATTGCCGATCGGTTCCTGAAGTCATACTTGCAGTAATAGTTACTAGACTTATCCAAGTGGGAGACTGTTGGATAAGGTGTCTAAGTCCATAACTATTTCTGGTATGTACTTGACCCGACCCGGCATGGTCCATTTGGGTTGCATGGCACCATGCAATTGGATAAACTAAATGAGAGAAATAACGCTTGGAGATTATTAATATATTATAAGTTCTAATATATTAATAATATTATTTGATTAGTTTGATCAAGAATTAATTTAGAATTAATTAAGTGATCAAAAGATAACTAATTAAATATATGGGTTGATTAAGTAAATCATCCATATCTTGTATAGTGGGCTAAAAGGCTCCATGGATCATCAAGTTGGGTTCCACCCATAGGATGCTCCATGGATGCTCCATGGGAGTTACAAACCCATGGGTCATGGAAATGAAGAGTCATGACACATTAGGGTTTAACCCTAGATGTGTCAACACTATATAAGTAATATGATCTCCTCCCAAATCGGTTGCACAAAGAAATAGAGGGCTTGGCCGTTTTGAAGAGTGTGTATTCTCTCATAAGTTCTTCCAAGAGCATTTGGTGTTGTGTGAAGCATTTGAGGCATCGCCACTTGAGGTGCTAGGCTCACAAGGTTTCAAGGAACACAAGCAACAACAAGGTAAGTTATTCTATCTATACTTTATGTTAAAATTGTTCCCCATGTATGCTAGATAGGAATATAACCTTGGAATTCAACTTTGCATGACAAATTAGACAAACATAGATCCAAGGTTATTAGGGTTGCATGTACACTTAGGAAGTGTTAGTATGCTCAAAACCCATCAAGAACACCATCGGATTTCACTCCAGCAAGTAAGAAAGACAAAAGATCCACCCAATTTCTAATGAAAGGATCTTTGAGTCCCAATGAATCAACTATTTCTGAAAAAGGGCGTAAAAGCTTTGTGGCACCAAGAACACCTTGAGGTCCCATTTTTGCAAATGATTTTAGGAGTGGATATGCATATCTAACTCCAGCAGCAGAAACAACTCCCAAATCACCTTGAATAGATAAAGGTGGCAAAGCCATGGCAGCTGCGTATTGTACTGTGGGGTATTCCTTCTTGATTTTAGATTTCACTTGGATCCATGATCTTCCTGCATATATATACATGACCATAAATTATTATATGACTTTAAAGTTGAAAAATGATATCAACTTTAAAAAGGTTAAATGCAAGAAAACTTATTTACAGGTTATATAGAAAAACTTATTTCTATCATTACTCATGATTTTGTTATTTTTCAAAACAAAATAATAATTTTCAAATCATACATCCAAACACCCCCATTAGCATTAAACCAATTCATAATCGTTTATCTACTAAAATAATTATAGTCAACATATTTATTCAAACAAGGAACCAAAAAGACCTTACCCTCGATAACAAGCCCATAGTAAAGCATAAAAATCAAGTTGTTCCATGGAGAAGATGTCACTTGTTCAAGCAACACCTACAAATATATAGATCAAATCGCGAATTAGGTGTCATATAATTCAGTTGTAAGATTGTAAATTTCCATTGTTATCCTTATTATCAAAGGTTCTTAGGATACCTCTTTGGCAACTGTTGTCGTGTCTTTTTTGCCCTTGAACAACTTATCCAACAATAAGTGGTAGAAATGCCCAAATGGTCCAAGATATGCACACCCAAAAAGCTACAAACACTCCCGCATTAATATTCTATACTGATTCTTATATATATATATATATATATATATATATATATATATATATATATATATATATATATTTGACTGGTGCTTTTTCATTTGTTGTAGAGAGAATAAGTTATGTGACTTTCATATCCTGATATTTTATATGTGACACCCCGACCTTATGGATACTGTCATTTATTCTTAGTATTCTTTAATTCATTAGGAATGGTGAAAAGTTTAACAGCAGAACATGGTAACCTGCTATCTGGTAACACCAATGGTTCCTAAGTGCAAATCAAGAAAATAAGAGCAACAAATATCACAGGTTTCTCTCCCTCCTTGAAATTGAGCACAAGTCTAAAACAAAAGAAATATGATGAAATTGAACACAAGGCCTAAATTCTTTGAGAAATTTTCAGAATTCAATGAAGAACCATACATGTTCAACAGAAAAATCATAAATCAAAACCTATATATTATCAAAAAATCAGACCTGATGAGAAGAGGAAAAAGGAAGAAGCGTACCTGATGAGAAGGGGAAGGAGACTTCAAAAAATTGGAACAGATGAGAAGAGGATCGTCGATGATTGGTTGTTGCGGGAGAAGAAAATTGGCGTTGAAGTAGGAGAAGAAATGATGGAGTCGCTGATTTCTTCCTTTGGTAGGGCAAGGGTATAAATGGAAACCCTTCTCCCTTTATTCCTCCTTTCTCAGTCAGTCGATTTTTTCCATCTTACCCGATTAGATTAAGCTTTCCGAGTCAGATACACAAATTTAGTTCATCAAACGTCTTTATCTGACCGGGTCATCAAAAAAAGTCGTTGATGTCTGAGATTCGATACCTTGAACCAAGAAATCCCTAAATCTCTATGAGATAGGAGCGCCGACACCTCGATCGATTTTGTTGAGAAGCATCGAGCATAACACTAAATCTTTTGGGAGTCGCAGTCGCATGCCAGGAGAAGTGAATGTGATGTTGCAGTGGTCTGTTAGAGATAGACAGAAAGGAGGGACATGGATGGAGGAAAAGGGTGGCCTGGTGGTTCTAGGGTTTTTATACAAATGGTGGTGTTAGTAACCAATGATGGTGATTGACCATGGAGTTTCGAGACCTTGACTTTAATGGAGCTATTGTTCTACTTGATATGGAAATCACTCTAAATTTGTAGTTGTAATACAACTCTTCTATTGATTGAGAGGCTAAGAAAGTACTTGAGGAACTAAAGATAGAGGGAAGTAGATGAAGGGTTTTCGAACTGAAACTGTAGTTCCAACAATAGTCATGGTTCCAAAAACTGTACCCCTTTGATCAATTTCATGGCCTGGTGACCAAAAAACCTTCGATTTCACTAAGAACCGGAACCCTAGTTCCAACAATAGTCGATTTTTGGTATTTGATTGAGAGAGAGAGAGAGAGAGAAGAACGATTGAAAGAAGGTAGAGGAGAGCTTGGCGGGGTTTTTAATTTTTTTAGAATTTCATTTCCCCCTTTCCCCCACTATTAAAGGATGGAACGCGCGTTCCCTTAAAAAATATAAAGCGACATCCTTAGACGACGCACATTTTATTATAGGTGCCCTCCGTGTTTTTTTTAGACACTAATTTAAGGGCGCGCAATAATGCGTGTCTTCTATCCTAAATTTTTTTGAAGAGATGACATTTTTCTAATGTCACTCTCCTTTGCGTAACATAGATCAATGAGCGTCGTATTTTGCGCGTCGTCAAAGGCCTTTTTTCTTGTAGTGTCGGCAACAGACCTTAAACTTTCTCAAGTAATAGCAATATAGGTAAGCAACCTAAGGGATGCTATATTCATTTATCATTTAGCACTTAATAGAATATAAAACATATCTCCTCTTAATATTCGAGTGCTTATATCCATTAGGTATTCAACCTAAAGTATACCAAATAAATATGGTATCATCACCACTTGACAATCCATGTTTAAGTCTAGAAATTCTCCAAATTCCTAGTTCACTTAAACTAATTCTTTGAAAATTGTGAAGTAAATTAATATCTTAGAATACTAGGGTTATCACTACCCAATACCCCACTTAAGTATTTCCTATGGTTTGTATCCATATACTTACTATGAATCCGTTCATATATTGAACTTCAACGGTTTAAGTCTAAATACCAATCTGTGGTATTTAGTTCACTTAAACTATTGCTCTGATGCCATGATTGAAAGACCCTTGCTTTTATAATTGAAACATTATTACTCCAAAAATACTACATGCATATTCATAAATAATATTTTACATTGATAATTACAAATGACTGGATACAAACCGACTATTACAAAGTGTTGTATATTACATAACTACCCCGGATACTATAGTTTTATACATTCTTGAGTAAAAATTACAATAGTTTCAAACTATTCAAAATCTTCTATCAGTATATAACTATACTGATTACTTATTTCCTGCAATTGTTAAACATTGAGAGGGTAAGCGGTGACGCGTAATGAGTTCAATAATAGATACAATATAATGTTATGCCATATATATATATATACTTCAATATGGCAGAAGCCAAGAGGAACAAGGAACAACAAAGGCATATGTGAATCATGCGACAAGCTTTCCATATCAATCAATGATTTGATTCAAAGATATACAATAAATGACATAACATTTTTTCATACGTGATATAAATCAATAACACTTCGACCCAAATGGCACAGAAGAGATACTCTTTCCGATTTAAATATTTTGGTAGTGTAACACCCCATTTATTTATTAGATAAATAAATAAATTAATGATCGAATAGTAGCCCTAATATATATATACATATATATATATATATATATATATATATATATAAAAGGATGGTTTCGAAGAGCTAATTGTCACAATTTTAGAAGTTGGGGGTTAAAAGTGTAAGTTTCATATTAATTTTGTAAGTATTTATCAAGGAAGGGACTAAATTGTAACTTATGGAACTTCATTTCATGAGATTTTGGGGTTAAGGGGCTGTTTGGTGAATAATTGGACCTAAATCGTGAAGGATTTCAATGTTGAGGGTTGAAATGGTAAAATTAGGATTATGTTTGAAAGAAAATGGAGATTAAGGGACCAGTTCTGGGCAAAGTTTGCCCAGGCGATTGAGGCGCAACAGTTGGCGCAAGAGTTGTTAGATCTCTACCAGACGACAGAGACTGTGGCAGAGATCATTGCCAACAATGATAGCACAGAGATCGTGAGTATCTCGGGGTGCAAGACCCTGACAGACATGACTTCTTGAGCTTGAGAACGAGATATGGGCTTGGAGCACATTAGTAAAAGGGAATCAGATCAGTTGCTTATATTGAGGGGTCTCGGGAGGAGACCCTTGATTTTGGATTAGCTTTTGAGGGACAGCAGGGTTAGATTCACTACAACACATGTGGGAAACTACACGATGGAGTTTTTCGTTCCAAGGGTTTAAGTAAGTGTAAACTTGAGTTATCCTCGGTTTGTGTCTAAATTATATTTTCAAGAGATGTCATATGCCAATTGCATACCGAGAATTACTAGCGGGTAGCAAAAAATCATATCCCGAATCGCTGGATTTCGGAGAGTACAACGTCATCTTGGTTTATTCCAAGACTAAGGAACAGCACGAGAAGCACCTGATGGAGGTGCTAGAGACTTTTAGTAGGGAGAGACTTTTTGCAAGGTACTCCAAATGTGAGTGCCAGTTGCGCGAGGAGCAATTTATTGGGCACCTTTTCAATCAGAAGGGTATTCTAGTCGTTCCAGGCACGATAGAGGCCATGATGCAGTGGGAGATTCCGAGGTCTCCGATTGAGATTCGGAGCTCCCTGGGTCTAGCGGGTTATTACCATAGATTTATTCGGGTTCTTGGAGGTGGTGTGATCTTTTGGACTGGCTAGTATCGAAACACTAGCAATGGTAAGCGTGGTTTTCAACAAATTGGGCATAGAATGGTATGAAGGATTGATAATCCTTCTAGTATTGTGTGTTGTAAGACGTTAGTTGAATCAAAGTGGGGGAGAATCATCCAAGGATTTAGAAATAGGAGCAATTTTGAATCTGGGATAAGTTTCACATCCTTGTCAGGAAGGAAGATAACCCAAGCGGCTGTATGATTTGAGGATATTGTAAGATGTAAGTTCAGAAATACTTGCCAATAAGGAGATCGCGTTCCCGTAATGTTTGTCAGCAAGCCTTGGGGGATCAGGTTGGGGTATCCAATCAGGACACGAGTTTATTTGAGTGTGGGTCAAGCGCGTGTCAATCCAATATGGATAGTATTGTAAGTCTGCGGGTGTAGCCGTAGCATTAACTAGCAGCCAGATAATGATAGAGTGTTGTAAGTCTACAGGTGTAGCCATAGCATTCACTAGGTTGGTAGATAGCATGAGTGCGTTTTTAGGACGCAGAAGGAACAGTAGTACCCACCAGTTCGGGTGTATCAATGAGGATATGGAAATACACGGATTGGAT